AAAGGAACTCGTTTGGTTCAATACGAGAATGTTTGGATTTCGTTCCGAGTACGATAACAGCACTTGTCTGTTTTTTTATTACACAACTATGTGTGATGAACAGCAGTCGGGGTAAACCCTATGGTCCCAAAAATCTGCTGTTCAGTGATGAAAGCCGGCTGCTTAAGCCCCGGGACTTGGAGTGGCGAACCACATAAGGCTCCCTTAGTTTAGGTGTGCTATTGAACCGGAAGACAGCAAAGCTGCCTATCACCAAATTTAGATGGTGGTGGTAGGGCTCGAACCTCAGACCGTGGGATCCAAAGCACGTTGGTGAAAGCGACTAAACCACTGCGTCACCACCACCATCCTGGAGTAGTGGATACCCAGCGGACTACACACTAATCAGTTGAGAATGCAAAACAAAATCGATCCTAACTGAAGAGTACACCCCACCCCCTCGTTGAATAAAAAAAAGAAACGCTTGCCTTCTTCTCTGTTCCGAAAATATTTCCCTCAGCATCGTACTCGTAAATCTCCTCCTCGTCGTCTGCGACCAAACCCAGATGGGGATTCTCTTCCATGAAACGCATGTACGACTCGAGCTCATCTTCTTGTTCAATATCGTCCCGGACTCCTCTGCGTGGTGCGCAAACAAGGGAGAAATAACACAAACAGTGAAACACGAACCAGTTCGAACAAAAAATGGGAAAATGGAAAAATGTGAAGGCGGACAGAGAGAAAGAGAATTGGTGATTCTAAACTGGTTCGAACCTTCTTGGCAGTTGTATCGCAGTCTGTATGACAGCCGTGTCTGATAGTTTAAAAAAAATTCAAAACAAACCACCACCATGTGATAAATGAGGCAAAAATAAAACATTTCGTATGACACGAGGCTTGGAATTCACTGCTCAGCTACAAAACACTCCCAGACCTCTTCAAACATTTTATGACCTTCGAAGTAGCAAAAAAACAAGTGGCTACAAAACTGGTTGGGACACTGGTCTGTCAAACGGATCTGCAAGCTATGAAATTCATCATCGCACTAATCGAATTAAGACTAGTGACTCTCAGTGTACTGGGATAGATGGAAGGGTCACGCGGTTACGGGGATTGGTTGTTTCGAAAACGTGCAACCCATTGTCATACTTTGATGAAGGTTATTTTTTTAACTGAGACAACAGTTGAGCCGAGTTCGTCAACCCCAAACAATTAACTGTTCTAAGATGAGCTAGAAATTCGTGAATTCAAACTACCGAAGAAAATTTAAAAAAAAGAAATCCTCTCACCCCTCACGATCCTCACGAGGATCAACGGATCTACCAGGTAACGGCCATCCTTGACACGTGAACTGTGTACCACCTGACTGTCCAGACACGGGTCCCCAATAAACTAGTCATCACACAATTTCGTTTCTTTTTCAAACTTTTACTATTACTATGGAATAAGCAACGACACAATTATCAGGTAAGAGGAAGCGGAAAATCAAAGGACTACCATAAAACACACAAATGGGGTGTCAGGCGATGGTGGTGGGATTGGAACACACGCTCTCCGGGGTGATAATTAGATGACGTTACCACTGGGCCACCACCACTCATCGTCCAGACTTGGAAGCCTCAGATCATGAACCAATTAAAATTGTTTACTGCAGTTGGAGCCTAGCGGCAGTATTGCACTCGTAAACGAATCATAGACTGATTATCTGGACATAAACATGCTTGAACCATATCGCGTCTCACAGTGTACAAAAGTTGTGAGTTCATCTCTTACTTGCTACTACCCTTCGGAGGTTTCTTTGAGCCTGACGGATTAGTGTGGCCGGGCGCATCCAGAGTGCGAACTTCTTCCTAAAAGACGAGGTTGGGAAGATATAAAAAAGGCAGACAAACGAATACTGTTGGTTAGCTGCGTCTACATTCAACATGGGATAAATGAACAAACCCCGGATTACAATTAATCCACATATAGCGACCTGGAAAGGAAAAAGGTAAAAAAACACAAGCGCAGGGGAGTGGCAATTTCAAACGGAAAATCTGGTGCTACCACCATGAAGGGAACGTTCGGAGTAAATACCACTCAAAAACGATAAACCTAGGAAATCTAAATGGCAAAAAACTGATAAATTATTTGCAAGTTATCATGGTCCCCAACGCAGATAACATGTTCAGGGCCACGAGAAGAAGAGCAGATCCAATTCAGAGCATTCAACAGCGGAATAAAATGGTGTTTAATGAATCGCTCATTCGAATTGATACGCCATACGAAAGGAAATGAAAAGGCGAGACTGGTATGAGTACTCGGTCCATTTCGATGATTTGTCGAGGAAACTGAGCGGCACACCGGTCGTACAGCATGGTGATGACCGGTTTTTTGTATTCATTGAAGAAGCCAACGTGATATTTAAAAAGAATTTCATGCAACCACTTCCCTTTAATATTTTCATGAGAGCAAGAAGAAGCATCATGATCACAGGATGTGTTGAATTCAACTATTTCGTGGTAACCTCATCAGTTGTGTACACACATTCGGATCACTTTTGGTTAACAGAGTGACAGGTTTGGGGACAGGCGAACACGCACGGGGAAGAGAAACCAGTCAATACGAAGGAGTTACCTCCTGTGTTTACCTATTTCAATGTACTTGAGGTAGCAAGTACGTCGGAAGAACTAAGAGACGATTGTCTATCAGGATAGCAGAGTAGGCACCGAAGAATTCGACATCTAACAGATTCAAGCTTCCATTCAGTACAACCGCCCGACATAAACTGGATTGCAAAGAATGTGACAAGCCTAGGGACGCCTTTCGTGTCTTGATCCGTCAGAAAGGTAGCCGTCTATTACGGTTCGCTGAAGCGGCTGCTATTCGACGTTACAAGCCAGATTTGTGTAAACAGACAGAATTTATGGCTAGCCTCGCGCTTCTTCGGCAGATGTCACTGTCCCCCTTCCCCTCACTCTGCAGTGATTCCACTCCCGGCCCCTATGCCAAATCCGGTTCATATTAGTGACCTATGGCCTTCTCCAAGTTCACGAACTTGGAGAATTGAGCTCCGTAAGTCCCCACGAGATAAATGCAGTACTGAACTGAAGGACAGCGAAACTGCATACTATACACTTTTTGCGACAGTAGTAGAGTCTGAATCTCGAAGATTTAGATCTAAAGAACTCCAGTGACAGCAAATTAGAGCCATTTCATACAAATCATCAAGAGATTGACCGTAGTTTTCCCGGAGTACCATCAGAATATAGGCATTCCGAAAGATAACCCTCACCTGTTAGGAAATGATCAAAAAGCATATCCGCCGAGCTTGCGAGAGCCCAAACCCGAATACACAGAATGGTCAGGGTTTGAGTTAGGACAGAATGAAGAATACAGTTATGACGACTGCGGCATTAATACCTTCCTCTAAGTTTTTTAAACTCAAATAACGCTCATGAATCTCGTAGCAGTTTGCAAGTGTATCGATCCACTTACACATATGATTACAGTTTATGTGATAATATGCATGTGGTAAATATGTGAGTTACTTTCTAAAAATGAAAAATTGAATTGATGTTCCATTTAAAATTTATCCAGCGTACGGTGATCGAATGAAATGGTGAAAAAATAAGATTCATAATTTGGTTACTAACGAGTAGCATACCTCGAAAGAATAAAAACATAAGGAATTGAATGCATTTGTGAACGATCTCACAAACAAAATGCATGAAAATGAATGAGCTTCAGTTTTTATCTTAAAATTCGTCCCATTCCTGCTGGACAGTTGAGGAAGGGAGTTCCCTAAGAAAAAAACTGAGAACACCACGGACACAGTATTTCCTCACGAGCGGTCGTACTCCGGTTTCGGGAGACTTTTCGGTATTAATAGTAGAAGTAGGAGTGGTAGTAGTAGTGGTACCGTACGGAATACAACTGCAGAGAGACTAACAACGATGAGTCTATGATGAATGATTTAGACATACAAGAAAAAATGGAAACTACGCGCGACGCATGTGACGCATCTATTCTGGGCACTAATCTCTAACTGTCAGCTGAACAAGTTAGATAAATCATAAAAACAGGAAACCAAGGGAGTCTGATTCGGATAAGCCTAAATGATCTGTGCGTAGTTGATGTGCCACGGTTTAGCTCACTCAGGGAAGAAGACGAAGAAATGACAAAGATGAACAGAATACGGTACCAAATCTATCGGCTCGAACTGAACTGAACTCGTCACCGTGTACCAAATGAGAAGCTGAATAAACCCACCTCAAACGAACGAATCATTCATTGTCTGCTCACGACTCGGATGATGAACAATCGGCGATCGGAATTTTAGTACATTTATCTTCACTCCTCTCATCTAAACAGGCATTCTGAAACTGGAACAACAAAGCAATGCGATCGAGTGGTCTCGGTGTTTACGGGAATTGGGTTTTGAACCGTGCCAACGGGTTTGTGATCAGTGGCTACAGCACACATACAACTCTTTCAAACATCTACCGGGTCAAGCAGATCGGTATGGAAATTATAGTTTCAGCTTAACGATCGTATAGATGGAAATGGAGATTCTGATCCGGAACAATACAAGGGGTCACTAACCACATTGAATATTTTAATCATTCACAAATACTACACACACATTTTTCGGAATCCGTTCCCCTCGAATGCGTTCTCTTCGTTTTGTGACTGCCCTGGAGCAGTTAACATTGGGGGCATGGAGACCTGGGACACAGATAACCGGTAGAAAAATATTGAAGTTTTGCACTTTTGTCAAAGCAGATTGTCAAACTAGTGACAGCAATCTCTGACTCTTGTTCGCAGTGTAAGCTAGAATCACCACCGATGTTATCCGTTCAAAGCTACGGGGAATGATACAAAAGGAATCAGTCTATAGATGACCCTTGTTCCAAATACTACAGACAATCGGCTTGCATGCACCCGAGGGCGTCTCTAGAATGCGCATAAGGGAGAAAGACCACTTAGATGAAGTGAAGTATGAATAGGCGGACAACACTCCACTGATTTATCGATGTCAGACGATCAACCCCAAGAGGTCCGAGGTCGTAGCAGGTCGCGGCCTGATGAGATATCTTCCTGACAAACAGAGAAATTAGTGTGACTTGCGTCGATTTGGTCAGCCAGTGAACAAAGTTACCGGTATCACCTCGGGAGTTTAATGATTTCTGGAGGTGGGGTGGGGTAAGAGATCACATCACGAATAGCGAAAGCTAGAGCAGCTTTCGCCAATCTGCGAGACCTGTGGTGCCGCCGTGACATCCAAATGCCCCTTAAGGAAAGGGTGTACATCGCCGCGGTTGCGAAACCTGGCCTCTCCGAGCGGAGGATATATTCGAACACCGATGCCTTCGAAGCAATGTTCATGTCTGTTGGGAACATCGAGTGAGTAATGATGAGGTTCGTCGTGGTGTGCTGGGTACTGGTAGTCGTTCTTTAACGGAAGAAATTGTACGGTGAAACTATCTCCCTGTTCTCTGTTGTCCCCAATTTCATTTAAGTTTCCTGAACCTCCCCATAACTTCACTATCAGTGTTTTGCATTGGCATCATGCTTGTTCTCAAACCGGTGATATATATATA